CTGACACTGACTGGCCTGTGGGCTGCAGGGGTGTGTGTGCAGGTCTGCTCCTGGGCCAATAGGCGTTAGAGGAGAGCGAGGGCCGGGCAGGCCTGGGGAAGAAAGGAAGGGAGGACCTGGGGTCACAGTGACGATGGCAGCAGGAAGTGGCAAGTGAGGGCTAGAATCTGGGTCAGGGGACTGAGAGGCCTGGAAAGAGGAGGGGAGCAGAGAGCTTTGTGTTTAGACCTTTAGAGAGAAGCGCCACCGCCCCCCCCCCACCTGTGTTCAACTGCTTGCCAGCTGTCTTGCTGAGCTTCGGCCCTCAGAAGCATGGGGGTGCCCAAAAGTGAGAGTGTGTGTGTCTGTCTGTCTGTCCCATTGCCGCCCCGCCTGAAAGTAAGCGAAATAGAACCTCATTTGGGATGAAGGATAAAACAGAAGAGGCTGTGGGGTGCAAAGCAGGTTTCATACTTGAGTCTGGGGCATTCTCAGGTGGGAGCAGCCTGCCCCGACCCCCAGGTCTTCCATTCTTCACCCTTCGTGCCCTGTACCTCTGGCTGCCACCAGCTCCATCCTGAGCAAGGGGTCTGAGGCCAGTGGAGAGGGCAGGGCAGGGCCCCTGCTGCCAGCGAGGCCAGGGTCTAACGCAGATGCTCGTTATTTTGGGCAGGTCCAGCTGCAGCCACCTGCAGCCCCAGCCACCAGCCCCCCTCTCGACTGTCCCGGCTTCCACTCATACTTCATTCCCATGCATGGCACCAGGTTCAGTGGGGCCCTGGGCAGGGTGGTGCAAGGGGGTGGGCTCCTGACAGCCTCAAAATGCCCTCTCTGCTCTCTCCCCTATTTGAGGAGGTACCCTCTTCCTCGTAATCTGGGGTGTATCTCTTTGATTGGCACCCTGGGGAGATTCCCAAATACAGGGAATTCCTGGGATAAAATTGGAGGAGACGGAGCCTCTCACTGCTGTTTATGGCTTGGTGGTCTCTGGAACTTCCTTATTTCTGGAACTTGCAAGAGAGCCCAGCCCTAGAATGGGGTTTAGGAAGTGTGGGTGGTTTGCTCCTCGGGTATGCAGTTGACCCTAAAGGAGAAGGTGCAGGATAAGAGTCAGCATTTCCTTCAAATGAAAATGGTTGTCCTCTGTATCCCAGAGACATTTTAAAAAACCTCTAAGATATCCTTTTTTTCCCCAATACACCCTAACCAGATATAGAATTTTATTTATTTATTTATTTTATTCATACAGAACTGGGGTACAAGTCAGAGGAGCAGGGGCGGTGAGAGGCTTCACCAGAGACAGAGTGGGGAGCAGAACAGGCAGATCAGCGAAGTACACTGCTGAGGGGAGCAGCGGGCGGGTCAGGAGAGGTCTGCCGCGCCATGTGGGTCAGCTCTGGAGTAGGGATCCAACTCGCACTGAAGCGGCTATGGCCAGCTTGCAGGGCTGTGTTCTAACCCGTTGCGACACCATGGAGGGCATAAGATGTTCTTTAGAAAATGGAAAGGTCCAGATTCAGAGGCTGAAGCAAGGGATAACAAAATGACATTTTGGCCACTGGCTTGCCAAAGACCAGGTCACTTTTTATCTCCTTGGATATCTGTGCATGCAACTGAGAGACAGGGAACTGTCACACTATCCTACCTGGAACTGATGTGACAGTGCTTCACCTGTCATTACAAATTACACAAGAGGGACCCTCCCTGGTGGCACACTGGGTTAAAGCGCAGCACTGCAAGCTAGCAGCAGCCTCCTTAGTGCTGGTTCAATCCCGAGCCCGGGAGCTGGCCCACATGGCGCAGCAGACCTCTCCTGACCCGCCCGCTGCTCCCCTCAGCAGTGTACTTCATTGACCTGCCTGTTCTGCTCCCCACTCTGTCTCTGGTGAATCCTCTCATCCTCCATATCTCTAGATTATTACTTCAGTTATGTATGCATAAATAAATAATTTTTTTTAAAAATTACACAACAGATGTGACAAAACTTTAGAAGGAAAAAATTAAAATTATTTAATGATCATGGAAAGTCATAGGATTTCCCTACCCTGCAGGAATGGGTGAGAGAGTTAGTGCTTCTTATCATCCCTTAGGCTGGCAAAACACTTGAAACCAGAGTGAGAACACATCTTACCCAGAATGCCCCAAACTGAATGACTAATCCGTCCTGACAGGAGGTGGTACCTCCCAGGCATCTGAGCCTTGCGTCCCAGGCTGAGGCAGTGCGAGCACTTACAGATCACTCCTTGCCAGTTACCTAATAAGGTCAGGGGCTAGCCGAGCTCAGCAGGAGCAAGGAACTCAAGATCTAGAAAGCTCAGGGTCTGGCCCTCCCTGGTGGTGCAACAGGTTAGGACGCAGCACTGTGAGCTAGCCCGCAACCACTTCAGTGCAGGTTCGATCCCCAGCCCTGGAGGTGACCTCTGGCGCAGGAGACCTCTCCTGGCCTGCCCACTGCTCCCCTCACTCTGTCTGTGGTGAAGCCTCTTGCTTTCCCTGTACCTCTGGCTTGTACCCCAGTTCTGTATGCATAAACAAATAAATTTTTAAATAAATAAATAAATGAAAGAAAGCCCAGAGAAAAGCCTCCAAATGCTGAAAGCACTTTCACGAAATCCCACCTGGAGCTAGGCTCCAGCCACCACGGCCTTTTGGTCTTGTGCCAGGAGCTCAGGATTTGACCTGTGCGGTGTCTCTAGAGCTCCTGGAAGCAGGGGGACCTCATTCTTTGTTCCATGCTTCACGGGTTCTAACCATACAAGACCTTTCTCATCGGTCACCTCTGGAGTGAAGAATCTCTTCTTGATGCCTTGAAGAGACGTAAGGAACTCTGACTGGACTGTGCCTCTCTGGAGACTCAGGGCCATTTGGGCCAGTGCTTATCAACAATGGTTCTAACCTCACGAAGGGTTATTCCTAATCAAACTGCCTTGGAATTTCCCGCTGTCCAAAGGGCTGGCTTTCAAAAGTGCATTAAGGTCAACTTGAAGTGGGCGCCTTTACCCTAAGATTTCCAAGTGCTGTTATCATCCCTGTCACTTTCATGGGCTGAATCTTCCCCCAGTTAAAGGTGGGAGGGACTAAGCTTTAAGAAGCCTAAGTGATTTGACCAAAGGATGCCTGGTAAATCTGCTCCTGGTTATTCAACCAAAAAAAAAAAAAAGAGCTGGATTCCTTGTATGTGAGGGTTCCCATCGAGGCACTGGAGATAACGCGGTCAGCCAGAAACGCAAGTCTGCTTTAATGAAACAAACATTGTAGTGGGTGAACACCGGAGAAGTAAAATCTTCTGATTTGCAGCTTAACATTCTATCAGCACTTTCATCAACATCCTCTTGAGAGGTTAAGGAGTTCCACTCAGGGGTCAACATGGGCTTCCTCCCACTCCTTCCAGGCTCAAAGGAAATGCTGAACTGGAGAGAATATTCACCCCGCCCCATGCGAGTGGCATGAAGGGCTTTAGGCACTGCCCTGGGTTCTTCCCAGACCTCCTTGTCCTCCAGGACTCTCTGAGGACATCTGAAAAGAGTATCCAGCAAAATAATAAACACAACAAGGCAAACCCCTGTTTGCTTACCCTTTATAAGTTAGAGTAGCCCTAAAAATCTGTGCTAGGAGGAGGCGGTGGACACGTGGGGAGATGGAGGGTGTAACCACTTCCACCCAGCGCTACCTGCAGAGACACGATTGATTGAAATCTCCAAGAACTTTGGCCACAGGTGATTTTTTGAAAACATAATGGACAAAACAGCCAAGGTCTCCCTGGCGGTGCTTATGCCTCTTTGTTTACCTTCTAGAAAGAGGGTGTCTTCTATTCATTACAGAGAGGTTGGCCAGAGGTGCTCTTCGCGCTCCCCTCTTCCCTCCCCACCCCTGTTCCCCCACCTCCACCCCCTGTAACTGAACTCAGAACTGTAGGAGGTGCTTATCCAGGGCTGGGGCCCAGGTTCTGGAGCTGAGCTCAGGGTGGCCCCTCCCTTTCAAGGACTGCTCTGTGGCAGTGGCTCCTGCAAAAACACAGCCCCCCACTGAAATTGAAAACAGGCTCAGGATAAATTTTCTTCCCACCTTCAGCTGTGTCTCACCTACACCGAGTTCCACCACCCCCACTCTCCGGGCAGTGTGTGTGTGTGTGTTGGTGTGTGTATTTGTGTGTGTGTGTGAAGGGAGAATGCAGGCCTTTCTGAGGGGAGCAATACTTGCCTCCTGGATGCTTATTTGAGGCCCTCCAGGGCTCCTGACACGTGGGCCCCTCCTTGCCCCTGCTGGCCTGGTGGTGGCCTGCACTCTGCGTGGATGAGTGCTGCCTCACTATCTTTCCTCCTCAGAGGTCTGTCTGTCCCCTTTATGTGAGAAGGTTCCACCCTATATCACCAACTGCCAGAGCTCTTCACTCTCCCTCCCTCCCCAAAGCGTTTTGAAGTGGGGTGGGGTTCAGTCCTAAGACCTGAACTTGATGCCTAACCCGCTGATAATGCACAGAGCTGGGCCTCGGAGGATTTTGGCATCCTCTATCACATTGTCCTCCCGGTCTGTAAGTGTGGTGTGTACGTCAGAAGGGGCTGCGGGGCGTGAGGGAGGGAAAGGCTGGCCCCAAGCTCACTGAGGTCTGAACTCCTTTTCTGACCTCTGCTCACTAATTCCAGGTAAGTGCAGACTCAAGGATCTGTGGCCCCTCATACAGCAGGAGAGCGTTACAGCCATCGAGGTCGTGACCTTTTATGTCCAGGTTCCTGAAGTTCTAGCATTTGTGTTACTCGGTTTGAGAGAGGTGAGGCCTGAAGACTGAGGTGTATCTGAAATTACTTCTACATCGGAGACTATAGGATGCTGGGGCTTCCCAGGGAGGAAGGGGCCTCTCCTGACTCTGCTCCCTCAGCTCAGGCCTCCGCTGTCAGTTCAGCTCAGGCCTCAACTGTCACCAAAACCCTTGTGCTAGAATGGGTACCTCTCGCCCTTCCCGTAGCCAGATTCCCATCACTGATCTAATTGTTTCTTTTCATCTGTCCTACTCTTTATTCCAGAGATCCAGTTATCGTTGGTATCCAGGGAGCGCTCCTCTTCCTCCTTCTCCAGCCGCCTCTCCACCACTGCAGTTACTGGTTGTTGCTAAGGTTGCCTCCATGGTAACATGCACATCCTGTTTACACCTCCATCTGGGCAAGTTGGTCTGAGCTAGGAACCTACCTATCCTAGACGACTGGGGATACCATCTGGGGACACCAATCATCGTGACACGTGGTCCGGCCTCCACTCGGTTCCCCCATTCTCTTCCTCCTTTCGCTGCCAGGCTTTAGACACAAAAGGACCTGGGCTCAAGGCTGCTACTCTGAAGCTGATTGCACAAAATATAGTCGATCTTACCTGACTGGGCCCCTGGAGAAGCAACTGGGAGCAGTTGAGGCAGGGAGGCGAGAGACCTCGGGCAGTTGAAGGAGAACTCCACATTTTCTGTGGTGGAGGGGCTTGGTAACAGCAAGCAAAATGACGAACCCAACAGAACGTGCTTTGCCAGCCAATTCTGTGGCTGAGAGCCGCGATGGGGACTTCGGCTGCACGGTCATGGACCTGAGGAAGCTCATGGAGCTGCGTTCGGCGGATGCCATAGAGCAGATCAACATCCAGTATGGAGGTGTGATGAACCTCTGCACCAAGCTGAAAACCCACCCTGTAGAAGGTAAGAGGCGGGGCTGGAGGGAAGTGGTGAGTGTTACAAGAGACTCTTGCCCCAGCTCTGGAGAAGGTATTTTTCCAGAGGCCTCCCTGGTATATCTGTATCTGGTGGGCAAAGTGCAGCATTTGAATGACTGAAGTGACGCCATGGAGGGCCATTCCTTCCCCGGAGATGACCTTTGGGGTTGAGCTGTTCTCTTGAAGATCCTTCTTTCCTCCTTTTACTATATCAGTATACAGAAAGGAGGATATTTATCTCTATTTGACAAGTGTTTATGGGAGAGATACTTCTATTAGTAAATAATCTTCAAGTCCCTTATTCTTACTCAGTGTCAGTCTTGGATTGCAAAAGGGATAAGGATAGGATTCTTTCCTGTCCTGATCTTCCAGTGGAATTGGGAAGATGAGTACCCTAAGGGAGTGAGCACACTGCCCTCTGGGTTTCTGCTCTACTGTCCACGGTTAGAAATGCGGCAGTGAGTCGTCAGGTAGAGAGTTGCACCCCGCCTGTCTTGGAATAACTCACTCTGCTTTATGTCAGGGAGTTGCGGGTGACTTTGCAATCCTGCCTGACGTACTCAAAATATAGTTCTTTTTTTTTTTTAAGATTTATTTATTTATGCATGTAGAACTGGGGTACAAGCCAGAGGCACAGGTGAGGTGAGAGGATTCACCAGAGACAGAGTGGGGAGCAGAACAGGCCGACTGACAAAATATACTGCTGAGGGAAGCAGAGGGCCGGTCAGGAGAGGTCTGCCTTGCCATGTGGATCACCTCCTGGGGCGGGATCGAACTCATGCCGAAGTGCCTTTAGCTTCTTAGTGCAGCTTCATGCTCACCTGGCCTACCCCAAATGTCCAGTGAGGCAGGGTGAAATGAAATTTGGCCTTATCAGAGTGCAGAGAGAACAGCTGAAACTGTGTTTTCGCATCACCCGCTTTGAGCCACACTGTAACGGGTTCTTGTTTGGTTCCGTTAGTCGGGGAGGCCATGGTTGAGTAGCAGGAGGTAGAGCCAAGACCTTGTCCTTTAGATGCCTTCATCCTCTTTCTTGGAGGTCTGTATTATGTATGAGCCTTTCTCAGAGGTCACGTCATGTTTCTTGCCACTTCTAGGAAGTTCTGACCCCTAGCCGATGGTATAAAGTCACATGGAGTCCAGATTATTTGGGGGATTAAAAAAAATGGGGGGCCCTCCCTGGTGGTGCAGCAGGTTAGAGCACTGCACTGAGAAGCTGAAGCCACTTCTGCATGAGTTCGATCCCCACCTGCCCCGGAGGTGATCACATGGCGTGGCAGACCTCTCCTGACCCGCCCGCTGCTCCCCTCAGCAGTGTACTTTGATCATCTGCCTGTTCTGCTCCCCACTTTGTCTCTGGTGAATCCTCTCACCCTCCGCATCTCTGGCCTGTACCCCAGTTCTGTATAAATAAATCAATCTTTAAAAAAAAAATGGGGGTGGGGGGTTTTTAGGTATCCCTCTATTGCCCATTTCTTATTCTCTTTGCCATCTGAGCCAGCTGCATTACATGTTCTCTCCAGTTCTCTAGTTCAGTTTCCTATCGCACAGATTTTGAATATAAGTACTAGTTCTGCCATTGACTAGCTTAACGGCACTGAATCAGTTTCTTGGCATCCCTGAGTCTGCTATTTCTTTGAAAATGATTTAGATACCTAGCGCGAGAGTGTTGGGATGAATTGCTATAACGTATGGTGAGTGTTCAAATTTGTAATGGGGCTTCAATAAGTTTGTCGCCTCAGAATAAAGCAGGACTCGGGCGTCTGGGCACTTGCCGCATCCAAGCGCCGGAGCACCAGGCATTGCTGTAGCTGGAAGAGGGGTGCAGATAGAACTGCGACCCAATTTTCTTCCAATCACTTCGATATGAAAAAAGAACCCTGGCGAAGGGGGTGGTGCCCAGTGGCGCTCAGTGGCTTAGGTCAAGATCCGATAACTGCCTCCTCCGCACCTGCTTGATTTCTTTATCCTGCCACTTTTGTACCAGCATTCACCTTCAAGAGAGGCCCTTCTTATTATTTCTCACTGAAATCATGCACTCTTTGAAAACCCCCCTGAGAATCTAAGCAGGGTCTTTCGCCTTCCCTTCCTAGGCTGTGCTTGGTCCTGTCGATCAGTTTTTTCTTTCACAACATGCAACAGTCTGTTTAGTTTCAGATTCCCAGCTCTCCCCTTCCCAGAGGCCAACAGATGTTCTACTTTAACTTCAACATCAGCTACCACATATTACAGACAGAGCACTCTCTTCCCATGCCAGGGTCAGGCCTGCCATTGCAAGCCGTTCCTCCTGATGGCCACAGCAGCCTCGGGCCCCCTGACCTCCCCAGACTATTGTCTCTTTTCCGGGGCCATCCCCACCCCCAACCAATCTCTCCACTCCCCAAGGAACAGTGTCTTTGGGCTACTTTGGCTAGAAGATACCTTGTTATCCTCCAGTAGTCCTCCTTGGTATCTCTTGGCTTTTCCAGAAAGAGAATCATCTGTGGCTTCACGGGAAGAAAACAGAGGCATTTTCTTACTCTCAGTCTCTGTGTGCAGGAAGAAGAAACAGGCCTAAACGAGTAATTCCTTGGTCTAGAGAACCTTCTTTCCCCATAGAACTTTCCCACTTTGGTCCTCAGTCATGCTACCCTTTTTAGGAGGAAGACAGTTGGGGAAGGCCCAGGCCCAACCAGAGCGGTCAGCGAAAGGGAACCTTTACCAAATAATAAATCATTAACTGCGGATCTTCTTTCAGATGACTGTTGAATTTGAATCTAGAAGAATGTTGGTGGGAATTTCTGTCGTGTTCCCTCTGTCCACTGCCACTGCTCTTCTCTTCCACAGCTGTGAGGGTATGAGGGTGGGACCAGAGACCTCCCACTTCCTTGTTAACGCCTGTCAATAGATATTTAATGTCCCCACGGGGACATGGGGACAACACCAGGCACAGTCCCTCCTTCTGTAAAGCGTACAGGCTGCAGGATGCACAGAAAGGCGGGGTGTTTCAGAAGCGGGTGTGTGGTACAGAACCAGGCGATAAGATGGGAAGGATTGGGTGGGACAGGAAGGGACCTTGGAAGTTGGAAACAGGACCCCTGTATATTTGTTTGTCTGGTGAAGGTCTCACCTGACCATGCTTTGTGGTTACTGCCACCACTCACTGAACATTCCTGCCACAGGATGTTCATGTCTCTGCCTCCACAGTGACTGAGCAGCTACTAGATATAGGGAACTGAAATTCTTTGGGGAGTAAATGGCAGGTTCCTTAATGGCAGGATGTAGTTTAACATCCCTGCCACTTGGAGATGTCTCTGGTTTAACTGCTTCTATTACCAGGCCTTTTGAGCTCAGTGGCGTGTTCTCCCAAGAATTGTTCCATTTTTCTACTAGCTGGAACACACTAGGGTTGGGCTCTTTCTAAGTGTGGCAGGTTGAAATTTCTAGTAGCATCATTGGCCTGTAAGGAGCCCCAACACCATACCACAACTATATTTACAGAACAAGTGAGTGAAGGAAATAATATAGAAAGTTCTAGTATAATCAGCCCTCCGTATTCACAGATTCCACATCCACAGATTGAAACCACTGCAGATGGAAATATGGAATATGTACTTAAGACTACAGTGGCTGCTAGTCTGCTGTACTAAGTGTGACCAGATTTCTTTCTTGTCCCTGTTCCCCAAGCAATGTAATAGAGCCACCATGTATATATGTAAATGCAATTTCCATAGTGTTTATGTGGTATCGGGTAGCATAAGGAATCTAGAGATGGTTTAGGTTCCGTGGGGAAGTGCAGGTCATTTACAAATACTGTGCCCTTTGTATAAGTACTTGAGCATCCACAGACTTGCTGAGGGGTCTCCTGGAACCAATCCCCCTGATGCCAGCGGGTGTCTGTATTCTTCCCATGCTCCAACAGATGGAGGCAGGCCCCCTTTTAGAGACCACTGCTTTGGAAAATGTTAGCATTGGGGGATATGGAGAGCCAGACAAAGGGGTGTGGATGGAAGGGAGGGGAGGGAGATTTTCTTCCCAATCTTTCAAGTTTTTGGGTTTTTTTTAAAGTTTTATTTATTTATTTACTTACACATACAGAACTGGGGTACAGGCCAGAGATGTGGAGGGTGAAAGGACTCACCAGGGACAGAGTGGGGAGCAGAACAGGCAGATCGACGAAGTACACTGCTGAGGGGAGCAGCGGGCGGGTCAGGAGAGGCCTGCCGTGCCATGTGCTCACCTCCGGGGCAGGCGGGGATCGAACTCATGCGGAAATGGCTTAAGCTTCTCAGTGCAGTGCTTTAACCCACTGTGCCACCAGGGAGGGCCCCTCTTTCAGGTTTTTAATCTGTCTTGGAATATCCATTTTTAGAAGCTTTTCAGGATAGAGACACATGACACATTACCTCTCTCATGCCCTCTTTCCCATGACCATCACCTCAAACTCTTGCCTCAACTCCACTAAAGATGCCAAATAACAGCTTGTCTGGGCATAGTTGCAGAGATGAATATTCGTGTAGGTGCGTGGCCCTTTCTGTACGGTTTACAGTTCAGCGCTATCACCTCTGTAGCCTCAGTTGGATCCCCAGCCAGGGAGCTGACCCATATGGCACAGCAGACCTCTCCTGTCTTGCCTGCTGCTCCCCTCAGCAGGGTATGAGAGCCAGTCTTCCTGTTCTGCTCCCTACTCTGTCTCTGGTGAATCCTCTCACCCTCCCACACACACACCCTCTGTCCTACCAACCCTAATTCTTCAATGCAAAAGATAAAAAATATATATTTAAAAAATAAAAGGTTAGTCCCTTATCCCAGAAAATAGAAATGATATTTTTAAAGAAAAATTTCCCTTTTTTGTTTAATTTATTTATTTATGCGTAACTGGGGTACAAGCCAGAGATGCAGGGGTGTTGAGAGGCTTCACCAGAGACAGAGCGGGGAACACAACAGGCAGCTCAACGAAGTACACTGCTGAGGGGAGCAGCGGGCAGGTCTGGAGAGGTCTGCCAC